CTCATTCTGAACGATCTGGAGCTGCAGCAGCAGTTCCCTAACGTTGTGGACTACCCCACCTCGCCGGCCGCCTCGCCATCCAAGCCCTTCAGCGTCGACCACATGCTCGGCCCGAGCTTCGTCTCCGGCGGGCAGCAGGTCTTTGAATTCGTGAGGATGATGGCATACAACGAGGTCTACCTGCGCTGCCTCCAGCTGGCCAACGCCAGCCGCGTGCTGGGCAATCTGGGGGACGACATCAACAAGGTTGCGTGGCTCCCGGTGGTTTCAACCGGCGGGTGTTTTGAGCTAGCTATGACATGTGGAGCGCCAACTGGGCTGAATGGTGCGCTGGCAAGTCACAGCGGCACACACAATAGGGCTGATTACATCACACAGCACGCTCCTGCGCAAGGTTGATCCCACATTGCTGTGAGGACCCCAGAAAAACAGGTCAAACTGAGCTCAAAACCCTTCACTCTTTCTGGGAGAGAGGGGGCTTACTAGTGCTGTTGTTCACCGCAAAGCTACAAAAGGTAGAGGGTAGACTTGAATATATCAGTTTTGTCGCCATCACTACTAGGAAAACCTGAAGCAAGTTGTCTTCCATTAGCAGCTGAGGATTCTTCTTGCGCCTCAAAATTCTTGCTGCGAACTTGAAGTTTTTGTCCGGAAAAAGAAGACTTGTTTTTGCCCGGTTACGAGTTCTGAGGGGTTGATTTCATGGTGTAGAAGCATGTGTCACCGGCAACACCTCAGCATCGCCAGCAAAGCATCCTCTGCGGAGCCTTCCCAAAGGCACCTATATCTAGGCGCCGTTTTCAGACAGCGCGAGACAGCTAGCCACCCCCAGCATCACCAGCAACGCATCTCTTGCGGAGCCTTCCCCAATGAGGGTTAAACTAGTACCCTTCAATCGCCGCAAGACAGCCAAACACCGACCAGCATCACCAGCAACGAGTCCTTTGCGGAGCCTTCCCGAGTGGGGACTAAATTAATACCCACTTTCAAACGCTACAAGACAGCCAAACACCGCCAGCATCACCAGCATCGCCAGCAACACCCCCAGCATCACCAGCAAAGGCACCTGAATTTCGGTGCCGTTTTCAGACAGCCTCAGCATCCTTTGCGGAGCCTTCCTAAATGGGGGCTAAATTAGTACCCGCTTTCAAAGGTGGAAGACAGCCAGTATCACCAGCAACGCCCCCAGCATCACCAGCAATACATCCTCTGCGCTCTGTGGAGCCTTCCCAAAAGGCACCTAAATTTAGGCGCCGTTTTCAGTCACCCCTAGCCCCACGCCTACCAAGCAAGCAAGGGTCAATTCAAGAGGATCCCTGCAAACAAAACTTCAGGAAGCACCTTCTGAGGACCCTTGTAGTCACTCCTGCGTTGCCATTTCAACCGTTTAGGAGCCTAAGTCCCTGCGGCGAGATTTTAGTCTTGGGTTGCAAGGGGCTTGCGGCTTGCGGGCTCTTCAATGCAACGCTTGGCCGAAAGGACGCACGGCGAGTTTTCCAGTTCTAGGCCAAAAGGATGCACAGCGAGTTTTCCAATGTTAGGCCAAAAGGATGTGCAGCGAGTGGTCCGCTGTTAAGCCAAAAGGGTTTGCGGCGAGTTTTCCAATGTTTGACAAAAAGACTTGTGGCGCGTTTTCCAATCTTAGGCCTGCAAGACTTGCGGCGAGGTCATTTTTGAATCAACCCGTTCCAATAATGACTCAAACTTGCGAAGAACGAAGTCCTCTGGAACTTGGGAACTTGGTCGCTTTTGCGCACTTTTCGGCCCAAAAGAGAGCGGTGACGAAGCGGTGACAAACGGTGACAAGCTCGGCGGGATGGAATTTGCCTGCTTTTCCGGGCTGAAAACGGAATCCAGAGCAAAGTGAGCGTCTGGAGCCTGCTTTCGACCGAAAACGAGCGAAACTAGAGGCTGAGGCATCCCACTTGCCGTCTGACACGAAAAAACGAACTTTTCGGAGTTGGCCGCTTTGAGCACTTTTTGCACCAAAAACGGAGCGGTGACAAAGGCGGTGACAAGTTCGGCAGGCTGTCGTGTCACAAGCCAGGACCTCGGCAGGCTGCCGCGTTACGAGAAGAACGAAGTCCTCCGGAACTCGGGAACTTGGCCGCTTTTGCGCACTTTTTCGGCCCAAAAGTGAGCGGTGACGAAGCGGTGACGAACGGTGACAAGCTCGGCGGGATGGAATTTGCCTGCTTTTCCGGGCTGAAAACGGAATCCAGAGCACAGCGAGCGTCTGGAGCCTGTTTTCGACCGAAAACGAGCGAATCTGGAGGCTCAGGCACCACACTTGCCGTCTGACACGAAAAACGAACTTTTCGGAGTTGGCCGTTTTGAGCGCTTTTTGCACCAAAAACGGAGCGGTGACGAAGACCGGTGACATCGGAAAAACGTTCAGCTGGATGGAGAATTTGGCTGTTTTGCAGGGTTTTGGGACCAAAAAACCAAATAATTAGGGGACTATAAGCCTTCTTTCCTTACTACTGGGCGCGCTGCGCAACATGGTCATGAAGGACATGTTTGAGGGTTACAGTCTGAAGAACAAGGGAGATTCGTATTTCTACTCACCTGTGGGTCGTAGAAGAACCTCCTTCTCGATCTGTTTGAAGATCTTGTCGATGATGTGCCCTTCTGATGTAGGATGTTCCTTCCTTGTTCCTGTAGACGTTGGAGTCTGTTTTGAGCCGTAGTCCAAGCTTTGTGAGGACTGTTGCTATGTGATCTTGCCACTGTTTGGGACTAGATCTAGCTTGTTGTTCTCGTCGTAAAATTCTTGTGGCGGTCTCATGTGCATGTCCGTTGTTGCTGCTATGGCCTGTAGGAATGCCACGCTGACATCACCTGTGCGAACTTTCCATCCTTTTGCTAGCGCTGTTGTGAGAAGTGTGCGAAGGATGCTGAACATTGGTGTTGATGCGTACAGTGTGTTTGTGTCTGCTATGTTTTTGGTGTAGCCTTTTGCCACTGTGCGCGCTCTGACTTCGTCTCCTTTTGGTTTCAGCGCCCACTTTGATTCCACAATGTTTCGTTGTTGTTCCGGCGTGAGTGTTCTGATGTCAACCTCTGTGAAGACATTGTGTTCCTTCATTTGTTTGATCTCTTTTTCATACCTTCTGCCACCAGTTGTGGGTCTAGGTCCTCCGTGTTGGTGTTGAGCAGGATTGGTTCTAGTGTTCTTTAATTTTCTGCATCCTGTTGATCCTCGCAAGATGTTGCTTCTCTTGGTTGTCCTGCTTTGTTGTTTACTGTGATGGCTCCAATCCTGGGCTTCATTTTTGGTTGCTCTGTTTGCTCTGGCCTTTCCTTCTGCTGTTGCGCTGCTTCCGTTTTCTGTTGCTTGCTTGTGCTTCCTTCTGCTATTTCATCAGCGCGTGTTCGTGTTGGTGGTGGTAGTGGTGGTCGCCTTGATGTCGTCGGTGAAGTCGCCATTGGTGATGTAGGTCCAGCATCTCCAGGAAGAAGTTGTTGTTGTTTTCTTGGTGATCCATCCTGCTGCGGCGCTCGCTTATGCTCGTTTGTTGTGCTTGTTCCTGCATCCTGCGTGTTTGTGCGTGATGTGTCTGTTCCTGTTTCTCTTGTTGGTCGCGCTACTCTTGTTGCGATCGGTGCTGTCGGTGGTGGTATGTGCCATGGTCCTGCGTTGACTACATCCATCAACTGCTGGTTGTATTTGTGTGGTGCTATTTTTTTTCTGACTGTCCTTGCTCGTATGACTCTGTTGCTGATTCCAAGGATGTGTTCCCCTGTGCTCTCATCTCGACCCAACCAGATGCCGTCGAAGAAGCGCTGTTCTAGTTTTGGGTATTGTTTGAGTGTCGGAACCATGTACTGCACTGTTTCTCCAAACTCGCAGAGTGGAGTTTGTGGGTTCTTTTGCCACCTGTTGAAGTAGCTTGTGTGTCCGTTGCTGTGAATGGCATATCTGTTGAGGATGTAGGCGCTGTGCCTGCAATCCATGCCATCAGTGGGTGTTGCAAGTTGATCTTTCTGTTGTAGTTCTGTTGGAGTTGTGCTCTTAGTGTCCTGATTTGTCCAAACAGTTGTGCTGTGCAGCAAGTGACGCCCTGCGTTTCACAGCGCAGGACTTGGACACGCCTGTCCTTGTTTCCACAGTCTTCGGCCTTACCCGCGGTTTGGCCTGGACCGGTCACGGACCGCTGTCCAGTGACGTTGGCGTGGGCACGCATGCCGCGCCAGGTAGAGCACTGCCTTAGCCAGGACACGCTTGTCTGGCATTTTAACGTTTCACGGGGGGTTGACAATGCCCCCTGTTCTAGGTGCACCGCGTGCCCTAGGTGCAGTGCAACTTTCCAGCAACCCGGAAAACAGAAGTGCGCGCCTTTCGTCCTGCGGGTTTGTTTTTTGGAGGGTTGTTTGGATTCAAGCTAGGAGCAGTGCAGCAGGTCTTAACGTGAGGGTATGTCTTTCTTCAAACTTTCGGTTTTCAACTTTTGGTTCCCTTTTTAATCACCAAAGAGGTACCCTCAGAAACAATCAGAAACAGACAAACCCACGTGAAGGGGTGATGTTTGCATAGCAACCATGGAGACGGACATGGTTAGAAAACCAAGAGTTACCGCTTTACAGGAGGGTCTGCCCTAAAGCTGGAGGGTTTCCTTTTGGATCAATCCAAAGGGCTTGGGGCGGTCGGCTATAAACACAGACCCGCAACATCCTCTGCGGCCCTTGGGCCAAATGTGGCCAAGGGCTTTTGTGCCCCTAAACATGCGATGGAAATTTTCGAGCTGTCTTTTGCAAGTTTCCTTTCTGAATTTTCAAGCTGCTGCAAGAAGTGTCACTTCCCAAAAAGACACGCCCAACAAAGCTTGCAAAGCTCTTGAAGTTGCGCAAGGCTTCGCGAACTACCCCCAGGTTTCCTCTCTTGTGGATATTGCTGTGTCCCTGTTCACTGGGGGTACGATTTGGATTTCGACCCATGGCCATATCCTGGTGTTTGAGTTGTGACCTATTCCCAGAGTTCCGAAAACGTCCATCCTGCCATGGCGCTTTCGGCACCGCTGCGGCGCTTGGCGGTTCTGGACCCAGAGACGGATCAGGAGGCGGCATCGGGTGGATAAAGTTGTTTCTCGCACCCAACTCAAAGAGCACCAGTTGATGTTGAAGGTTTTGGGTGATTTTCATTTGGGTGTTTATTTTTTGATATGTGAAAGTTGACAATATGACGTATAAACTTTGACTATGAAATCCAACTATTTCACAGTCATGTCCTGCATACTGCTGAGCAGCCACATTGCTGAAAAGGGATAGGAGAGGTTTCTTGAACCCCCTTTTTGGTCTTGAAGGGACAGTATAAGTGCGCTATGAACATGCATCGCGCTGAAAATACGAAGCCTCACAGAGGGTTCAATACATTTCTTGGTCAACTTTTGACACTTAGGAGCCGATTCAGGCCTGATCAGGTGACAGTGAGCCTCAATAGCCTCAATGAACCTCCACAATCTTCAAGAAACGTGCACAAACACTGTCGAAGCTCAAATGTGTGGTTTGTTGTTTGGTGACAACTGATTCGAAGGCCTGTGCTGCCACACAGCTGGACAGCGATGTCTCGAGCCTCTCGAGATGAATATTTCCAGGCGAAGGGTTTTTCTGGGCGAAGCCGCTTTTCATTGCAAAGGACCAGCAGCTTGCCTTGGCATACTGCAGGGCCGATTTTTGTGTGTTCTCTCATTTTTTCGCGGAAAAGAGCAGCTTCTCTTTTCTTTGCTTGTGTTGCAGGTCGAAGTCTGGAGTGAGATCCATATTTGGTTAATTTCCATTCAAAGCCTCTAAGGGTTTGGGGTTTGTGGGTGCTCGCCCAACTCTGTGGGGAGATCGGCAGAATCTTTCAGCCACTTTTGTGGATATCTTCCCTGGTTTTGGGGTCCGAAATTCAGGAAACCCTTCATTGCTGGTTTTGGATGGTGTTTATTTTCAATCCATTCGTAACAAATCGCGAAAACAACAATACCCAATGTCATGCACAACTGAGGGGGGTTGTATCCCAGTTTACTGGGAAACTAAACCCACGTTGGTCTTTGTACCTGCTCAATGTAAATATGGGTATGTTTTATTTTGAGGGTAGCCCTTTTTTGGTTGGATTTTCAAGGAAACCAAACGGAAAACCACCAATGGGGGTATGAAAAAAGACAGACCCATATGTTTGTTCTCAAACCATATGTTTGTTCTCAAGCATGGAGCCCCAATGGATGGTCTTTTTTTTTTTTTCTTTTCAAGTCTTTCTTTTGCATCTAAAAGGTCTCACCACTTTGAGACCAGGAATCATCTGGACCGTGCTCAGTTGGTTCTTGTTTTGATCTGGGATTGACACATTCGGATTGCTCCGGATCCGTACCGTTCCAATGAAACGCTGGACGCCTGAATGTATTTCGCAAGGGAGCAACTAAAAAGACCCCCTTGTACCACAAGTCTCGTGCTATGTGAAGGGCATCGGATTCTGGTGGCCTGAGGTCCGGAGGCTCCGTGCAGCCCGCCGGAAGCGGCGCCGGAGGCGGCGCCGGAAACGGCGCCGGAAACGGCGCCAGAAACGCCAGAAACGGCGCCGGACCCGCTTTCTTTGCCGCCGCCGGATCCGGTGACTCCACCTAGGCGCGTTCAGGGTGGGGGGGGAAGGGGTCCGAAACTGAGGATTTTGAGGAGTTGTGAGAATGAGTTTTGGTGGTTTCCCTGTAAAGATCAGAGATCACGACCTGAGACGCCGTGGCAGCAAGTTTGGCATGACTGATGCACTCTTGACCCGAGGTTGCGTGCTTGCCATCGTTTGGTCGTGGTTTTTGCCGGACTTTGAACAGGGAGAGGATTGCGCAGCTTTCGCGACTTTCCCGGAAAACCGGCTGAGTCCCTTGTGGGAACTGGTTTGGGCCAGCTCCCTCGCTGGGCCGGGGGGAAAAAGGGGCGGCTGGGTTTCCCCGAAATCTGATCCAACTCCTCGCCAGGAAGCGGAGGCGCAGGAAAAGTGCCCCGGCCGAGGGTTCGGAGTGGGATTGGGGTGAGCGTTTGGAGATTTGTTTTGGGTTGCGGGACACCAGTCCCATGCCGCAGTGAGGGCCCTAGATAGCTCCTTCAGGCAACTTGAAGTGAGCTTTGGAGTTCAGGTTTCGCCTGTGGTTGATTCTGCATTGTTTGTTGGAATTCGCAAGGGGCCAGTGGGTAAAAGGGACGCCCCCCAGGGTGACGTCGTTGGAATGGCAAGTCATGACAGATCCCATGCCCCCCACTTCATGTTACTATCTTTCTTTCAACTCTCTCAAATCTCTTCGGAACCGTCTTTGGACACCTTTTTTGGACACTTTTTTGGACACTTTTTTGGACACCTTGTTTGGACACCTTTTTTGGACACCTTTTTTGGACACCTTGTTTGGACACCTTTTTTTGGAAACCGGCTTGGACACCTCTTCCATCGGGTTCTTTGAGGGGGATCCTTGAGGCAGTCCCGGCGACACCTCGCCTTTGACGCGCACGCCCATCGCCACGCCCACGCCAAAGAAGGCGGTGCGGCGCTCCCCACGGCTCAAGGCATCCGGCATGGGGCAGCGGGCTGGGGCCATTTTTCCATCCACCGTTTCTGAGATAACCCAACAAAAAAAATGTTATTCCCCCCCCCCCCGCCCCAAGAAAAAAGAAGACCAAAAAAGCAAAAACAATGCAACAACCCGTTTTCTAGTAGGCGAAAGGGAACACTAAGTGCCATTTTGTAGTTACTTGGCACATTTTGCCATCATTGTTACCACCCCCCCCCCCAACCCCAAGTGGTGGAAGGGAACAACTGCAAAAGTGGCGATCGTTTTAGTGGACACCCGCGTGTAAATTGCTCAACTTTTGAAGGCGTAATCCAGCGACCCCTCGTTCAGTGGTGGCTAAAGGGAGACTTAACCCCCAGAAACAGACAAAGCCTTACCCCAATAATGCCAACGACTTTTGTACTCCAAGTGACTGAGCGCGATGAAACACGAGTCTGGATGACAACTAAATGGGTGTGTGTTTTTTGGAGGCTCGGCCCCCCAAAAATTGGTATGGAAGAGAAACCAGATAGATGAGACAGTCCCTTGCCAGAGCAAAGATCTACGCCCTTTGGATATTAAAGGCGGGTGGTTTTGGGTACGACGGGATGTTCCTTGCCCACGTCAGGTAAGTAGGTGAGAAGCCTTGGTTCTCTTCTACATCTGCAGTGTAGCTCAAAAGTTCGCATTCAGGGGCCGTGCTCTGCACTCAACAGGTTCAATTTTGGTCTATAAAACCCATCCTAAGCGCCTGGGAGTTGCAGTAGGGAACCCGCTTCGTCCTAGGTGCCTAGGAGTTTTAGTGGGGCACCAACCCAGCGCCTTTTCCGCGTACTCCAACAGCGCCCCATTTCCGCCTCGGGCAGCGAGCGAGCCCTCAGGCGGCATGTCGGAGCTCCAAACAGCGGCATCCCGTGCTGGCCCTGAGCGGAGTGGAGCTGCCGGCGGGATGAGTTGGAGGGATCAAAGGGGTCTCTGTGGGAACACGGAGGGCTGGGTGCGATCAATAGCAACCGTCCCAAGGAAGTTATGTTGCACCACAGTGAAAACCATGGCGGAAACCATTGGGGAACAAAAGATATGTAGCAACCATTGGGGATGGACCAAACTATTTCTCCACATTGAAAGCCACGGGACACGTGGAGGTTGTCCCAACAAAGTGATATTGCACCACTTTGATAACCATGGTTGAAACCATTGATTGTCGGTTGTTTCAGGGGAATCATCCTTGCTGGTTCTTGGATTTCGTCCATCCACGGCATTTTTTGACTTGCCCGAAGGGAAGCCAAAAAAGGGGAAGGTTGTTTTTCTTGTATTTGCTCAGACCGCCTGTTTAGCACGGTTCAGATCTGTAAGCGGTTAAACACCCTAGTTAAGAAGTTCCCTACGTGGATACAAAGCACTTACCCCATGATGGGAGGTCCCCAAAACCCGATCCATTTGGTTGTTTTGGGGACTGTCTTTTTGGCTCCATGAAAGCCTGCGAGAGCGAGATGATACTTCGTGTGTGTGTGTGTGTGGTGTCTGGGGCTTAGAGCTTAGGGTCGAAAACATGGGCTATATGGCCTTTTGCAGCAATGGTGGAGCGACCGCGGTGCGGAGGTTCAGTGGGAAGGCTCCAGCCCTGGATTCAGCCCATAAGTGTGGGTAAAGGGCTTCCTGTTGAGGGGCAACCCATGTTCATTTGCATCTCGACTCACTCCACTATGTAAGAACAACAACTTTGAATTTATAAACAGCGTGCTGGAATACCCCCTGAATAAGACTGGCGTCGGGCCGGGCGCATTTATTAATAGGGGAAGATATTGCTGACGTCAACCATCCTGCATGAGACCATGCTATGCTCATTGAGCAATGGTTGAGAGCCTTTAACAGGTTTGTTTATATACCACCAAAAGTATGTGCTCAACAAGGCCGCAGAGAGAACAGAGGGAACAGAGGATTAAACAGAGGGAACGAGGGAACACAGAGAACAGAGGATTGAACAGAACAGAGGGAATAGGGGTAACAGAGGATTGAACAGAGGGAACGCAAGTAACAAAGGATTGAACAGAGGGGACAGAGGTAACAGAGGATTGAACAGAGGGAACGAGGGAACAGAGGTATCAAAAGATTAAACAGAGGGAACGAGGGAACACAGGGAACAGAGGATTGAACAGAGGGAACGAGGGAACACAGGGAACAGAGGATTGAACAGAACAGAGGGAACAGCGGGAACAAAGGATTGAACAGAGGGAACAAAGGATTGAACAGAGGGAACGAGGGAACAGAGGTAACAGAGGATTGAACAGAGGGAACGAGAGAACAGAGGAAACAGAGGATTAAACAGAGGGAACGAGGGAATACAGGGAACAGAGGATTGAACAGAACGGAGGGAACAGAGGGGGTTTTTCGGAGGAGGTTGTGCACCAGCGAAAGCGGGCAACTCGCAAGCGTCCGTCAATATTCCTGGTTTCCATTCGTCTTCATGCAGCGACCCCCTTCAACCCCGGCCAGGCTGGTGAGTTTGCGGGTTAAACAGACACGAAAGTGAGAACACCGCTTGTAAAATCTTTTTGTGTCCCTCTACTCCGCCACATACCCCTTTGCATAAGGGCTGTTGGACCCCCGAATATCCTTGTACCACCTAAGTGTGAGCAACTACCGATGTTTAGCTTGGAAAACTTTGGGGGCTCAGCCCACCCACCCTTCCCATGTCCTCTTGGATGAGCTGACACCTTCACTTGGGGTTACAGGGATGGTCATCCATTTCATAGTAAGGATTCTTAATTACTAGTTAAGGGGACCATGACCATGACCTACGAAGGAGTTGACCGTGGCACTCATAGTTTGCGCGGCCTAGGTTCGCCAATGGATTTTCCATTCCGGAGCTGGCTGTCTTCCTCCCTTTCTGCAGAGCAAAGCCAAGCACATAACCCTCCAAAAAGCTTCCCCAAAAGCGAGTCCGTGTCCAAAACGGTTGTTGTAAGTGGCTCTAGCAACTGACTTCATTTTTGGGTGGACGGATCGGACGTGAGGTTTGGGGTTATCCATGTTCCCACAAAGCAGCGGATTACAAGTGAGTCGGTACACCGGCGCGTTCGCCGTTCAGGCGGCCCAGTACCGGGCTGCGGCCCAAGTCCTGGCCGCGGCGGGCGGGCATTTCACCAAGACCTGGACGCCGGAGGCCGGAGTGGCCGTTGATCAGCTGGCTCGGGGATTTGCGTCCCAGGTCCTGAAGGAGGGCAACTGGGCAAGCACCGTTGAACCGCCAATAGCCACGAATTGGAGGGAAGCTGGAAGTCCAAATCACGGGTGCCGGATGCCAAACATGGGAAAGCCTGATGGCTTACCCATACAGAAGCTGAACAAAGGTTTCCCCAAAAAGTGATCTTTACATTCTTTCTAAAGTGGGACACCCCTTCTTTAAGCAGGGTTGGAAATTGCTCACCTTGGCTCCTGAGAGGAATGAGGGAATCAGAGTGACTCCTATGAACCAGCTCCAGGGGTTTCCCTTAAGGTAACCACAAGCCCCTTTTTTCTTGCTGAGAAGTGGCGATTCCAAGCGAACCCTGCAAATTTTTCGCGGAGTGAAGCTGTTCTTTCAAAGACCACCTTAGTCGAAACAGATTTGGGCACCCACTTTGGTGGTCCTAGATTCCTGGTACGGAAAGCCAAACTCAAGAGCCACAAGAAGCCCTCGCACGACTGCAGTTCACCCAAGGCATTGTGAGGGGCTATGAATTCCTGTGGGTAGGTCCAAAGGTCATGATAGGAGATGTCCGTAATCCGGGTTCTTTGTAGTACCGTAGTACCCAAACATTTCCTATATTCAATATTCACCCGCACGTACCCGCCAAAGCGTCACATGTTGGTATCAACCTACATGGATTGTGTGGCTGTGCCTTGGACGTAGTCAGGCCGCCGGTCTGACGCCAGGCCACACACCTGGTGGCCGGCAAGTTGCGAAGGACCTTCAAGATGATGCGCCCCGGAGAGCATGAATTGGAGCCATCCCCACCCCCTTAAAAATGGAATTGGGGGATGGGGGTACCCCTGGAATTCCATTTATGGTTCCGTTTCCCTTTTATGGGGAAGACTGGATAAATGGAATTGGGGGACCCCACGTCCACCAAGTACTCTTCAGGGGTTCCTTGTTAACATTCATAGCCATTTGGCGGCACCAACGTATGCATGTCTACTATAATAGTGGTAATTTAAAGCAGTGGCCTAGTAAGCCCAAGCCTTATGACACTTCACTGGTCCAAGCGTTAGCTAAGTGGTTAGAGCCCTTTCCAGTTATACAAGTGCGCGGGGGGCTTCACGGACAATCGCCTTCCAAGACCCTTCCTATCAGTTTCCATTTCTTTTTTCAATCATGGTATAGATCAGGAGGACAACAGTTTGTGCATCTGCAAAGTGGTGTGCGTCACCAGCGGGTCGAACTTCCCTCTCTGTTTTGTGTGGCAAGCGTAGGACGGTCAATTGTCACTTTTTTTCCCCCCAACAGCTGGAAGCTTTGGGGTCTCAGCCCAGATAGGCTCCGGGGTGTCCGGGGCGGCCCTGAGGTAAGGTTCCACGAGGGTTCCACGATAGGGTTCCATCAAGGGTTCCACCAGGGTTCCGCCAGGGTTCCACCAGGGTTCCACCAGGGTTCCACCAGGGTTCCACCAGGGTTCCACGAGGGTTCCACGAGGGTTCCACGAGGGTTCCACGAGGGTTCCACGAGGGTTCCACAAGGTTCTGGGAGGGCTACGGGGTGGTGCGAGCACTAAAAAGAGCACCGCATGCTGGTGGGGATATCACCTGAGCTTTTGTTCTTTTTCTTCGAGGCTTCGGAGTGTGGAGCTACAGCTTGCAGGATTCTTGCATGTTCTAAGAAGCCGCGGGTCAAGATGCACAACTTTTGTCGTGGCAGTGCATTTATTGCATGCAACACGGGAATCAAATGGTTTCATGTGCAGCTTTCGAGGGCCCAGAGAACCCATTGCCATGGTGTAGTGCGGTCCCCCTCGTTTTACCATGGCGATCTGGCTAATGAGGGGTTTGGCAAAGAAGGGACACATCTACGGGTACCTTGCCCATTCTTTCCAGGGATCCTTCTTTTCAGAAAACCTCCAGAAACCCAGGGAAAACGGCAGGTTGTTGAAAAGAACAATGATTGAAAAGAAATCAACCCCTGGAACACAGGTGGCTTTGTTGGATTCCTTCAACAGCACCAAGGTAAAGCGCTTCCGAGGTGCGCCGTCTGCGCAGGGCTGCCGGTGGTGGGGCCGTCCTTTGTGGCCCGCCTGGTGCGTGAGGGCAAAGTGCCCTTCTTTGAGGATTCGGTCGGTTGGACATCTGGAAGAAACCAGCAAGCCAGAAAGTTCTCCAGAAAGACATCGCCCGAACCCTGGTTTTGTCGGTCTTTGGTTATATATATATATACATATATATATATATATATATTTGTAGTTTGTCATTTTTTTCTTCTGGCCCCAAAGGCACCAAAGGAAAATGTAGGGTACCCTGAGCCGCCCTGCATTTTTTCGAACCTGCAAGGTCTTATTTGGTTTTCACTTCGCAAACCCCCCCTAAAACCCCCCCCCCCCAAACCCCCCAAACCGCGGCAATCACAGGTTGGTCTTTGGGGCGGGTTGGGCTCCCATCAGCCCCTCGCTCGCTCGCGAGGAGCCGCGGCCGGAGGATCTGTTGCGGGACGCCGCCGGCGAGGCGGCGCTGGCGCGGCGGTTCGGCGCCTTGCCCCAAAGACCCCTGGCTCTGTGCTAAATGTACATACCCTTTTCAAGGTTGACTTGAATAAAATTGGCTTTGTGCTTTTCAGGGTCCCCTTTTCAAGGTGGGGAGCCCAACAGGAAACCAATAAATGTTTTGGGTAGCTATGTTGACACGTGCCCCATTGCTCGCAACCTTGCACTGGCAACCTATCTGGTAGCTTCTTCGGTCCTTGTCTCGGGGAGGTCTTGGGGGGAGGGGTCTGGCCTCAAGAAGAGATTGACATCGTTAAAGAAGGATAGCTGGATTCGGCTGGTCTTTGCCTTGATGTCAACATCAGAGAAAAACATGTAGGGCCTTACTACAGAGTTTCCTTGAGAACAAATGCATAGGGGGTTTCTGGGCAAGACGAAGACAGTGGGTTCCTTCCACGGGCATTTCGTGCAAAAAAGCTGGTCACGAGAGAACAAACCATCTTCAGAGACTCTAGAACCACGTCATGGTTCTCTTTACATTTTTTTTGGGGTGGGAGGAGGGTGGGGGCTGGGGTTGGGGGCGCTTGCGACCAGGTTATTTGGGTTTTGTACCTCAAGTGTTCAGCATTGCCAAGCAAACCCCCCAGTTACCCAAAGAGGCATGACATTGGGTGTACATTCACCAAATTGCCATTTCCCGGTACCTCCACATTCCCTTCGTTCCGCGCCTGAATATCGACTGACCTTACTTTTACTTGGGTTTGTGCCGTTTGAAGGGCACTACCTCGGTCGTCTTTTCGGATCAATTGGATGACCCCAGTTGAGCCACAATGAAAACCCGGGTAGATGAAGTTAGCAAGGGACAATCCCCTTGCCATCAATAGCTGCGGACATTCGCTTTCTTCATTCTTGAAGCCTGGTTCTGGGGATCTGAAAAAAAAGACAAGGTTTTGACTAGTAACACCAGTTTAAAAAGTCGACCAGTGTAATACAAGGTTCGACCGGGTCGACTCAGTTTTCGGCTCGGTTTTCTCCGAGGCGCCGGTGATGGTGAAGTCGGTGAATCGGTTTCGGTCTGCTCCGAGGCGGAGGCTTCAGCCTGGCGGCGTCGCTGGCGCGGGCGCGGGAAGCGCCGCTGCTCCAGGGGAAGAAGGTCTACGTGTCGCCGGAGGCGAGGATCGAGGGGTCAGACGGATGGTCAGACGGATGGTGGGGGGTGGAGTGGAGTGGGGGTGGGGTGGGGGGGTGGGGGTTTGCCATTCTGGCATTTTTGTTGCGTGGGTGAAAGGTCAGGGCCACATCAAGCGGTTTTCCCTTTCCATTTTGACCACTGTCTTCCTCCAAGGGACCCTTCTTGTAAACTCCCTTCTCAGGAAACAAAACAACACACAAAACAAGATCCAACGCAGACATCGTTTTCCTTTCTTTTCTTTTTTTCTCGACTTTCCGGCCCTCCTATCCGGGGCCATGTTCCAACCATAGCACTCCCCCCCTCCCGAAAGGGGGGTGCTTCCTACCACTACGAGGCGCGAAAGCTGCCGCGGTCGCAGCTGAAGCACCTGGTGGAAGCAGCTGGGGGCACCTGGCTGCAGGCGAGAAAGCTTTCAATAGGTGGTTTCAAAGCAAAGAGCGGTTTCAACCATGGGTTTCATTAGGTGGTTTCCTTAGGTGGTTTCGCAAACACCCACACTCATGGTCGTTGTTGGTTGTTGTTGGGAAGCATTTTTCTTAATTTTTGCTTATTGTGGTTTAGTGGTTGAAATCCAGCCGCTGAACTGCTAAAACATATTTGTTTTTGCTCCCCTTCCAACGGCAACCAAGAAAGAATCTTGAGGCTTAGCCACCAAACTTCGAGGCGACGGGCACCCCTTCAACTTCTCAGGTGGGGGGCACCGGTCTGCCAATTTTTCGTACATCACCTGGATGAACCCGTGAGAAGACGTGCTTACCCAACCCCTGCGTTTTGAAGAGCCCAAGTTGGTAGGAGTAAAGGGTATAATTTGCTTTTTTTGGTTTGAAACCTGTTGGAAAGGCCAAGGGGAAAAAATAGTTGTACTATTGCCAAGCTTTTGGCTTAACACCACCCCTGCAAAAGGCCACGTTCAAAGTTCAAAGACTTGTCCACTTGCTTTTAGGTGGCCGGGGATTGTTATGCGGGAACTTAGTGGGGGTTTTCCCTGATGCGTTGAAGTGGCTTGTCGGAGCCATTGGCTCAAGTCAGGCGCGTTTGAACGCATGAAGCACAGGTGTTGCCCCCGCAGGGGTTGACTTCCAGCCGCATGCGCTGAGCCACATGAACTAGCCTTAATGAACCTCAGCTAACCCGAGCCAAGAGGAACTAACCTGAACTAGCATGTACTGGCCTTGATGAACTTGATGATATATCGAACCCGCGCGAACCTGAACCAAGCTGAAATAACCTTCTCCGGTTTTCACTAGTGGCAGTTCCCGCACCATCTATTGAATGCAGGGGCGTTCTACATGTTCCAACCCAAGTGGCTTCATGAGGCATGCCATGCCCAGCATGTTTGCTTGGGACCAGTGAGGATTGTTGTGGAGTAATGAATTTCAAGGATTTTGGATGCTAGCCACGGTCACGTTTTAATCTGGAGCCTTCATTTCCCATGGGCGGACGCCTTGTCCTTGCGCTCTTTGCCTCCGCTTCGGGTTCGGCCGAGCCCGACCCGAAGATGCTGAAGATGGGCGCCATCATGAGGCCTCGGGGCCCGGGGGGTGGGGGGTGGGGGGTGGAGGGGGCTTCCAAGAATCAAGTTCCACAGAGATCCCCGCCAAAAACAGCACAAAAGCAACCTACACAAATGGTGAGCTCAACTTGTTATCCTCAATGGGTTTTACCGCCTGACTCAGAATCAACTAAGGGACAGGGACTCAATTGGTTTCCCGTTAGCATCAAGCGAACTACCTAGAGGTTCGGGGGGCGGTGTTTTGGTGAGAAGGGCTGAAAAGTAAACTCGTTCTTTTTTCTTGTCTACCGCCTGCCAAGGTGTAGCTATTGCCAGCTGCTGGTCCGGAACGCGCCGAAGGACCACTTTTGGCGCGTCTGACAGGGCCGCTCAAAGGCTACATTTTGGCATTTCTCAAAATACGGCATCCCGGAAATTGTATTACTTTCCTTTGGTTATCATCTAACTACCCAACAAACAAGGAATCCACCATGTTTGAGAAATTCCCATTGGGCCTAGTTACAGCAACACTTTTATCAGCTGATTTAGAGAATCATCTTTCGATCAGGTGGTTTTGGGATGCATTCATCTACCGAAGGGGATGCTCCTCCGGCCACTTTGAGGACCTCCCATATTTTTCGAGCTTTGGGGGACATCCTTTGACTCATTCTGGCTAAGAATCACTCAAAGAAGTTTGTGTCCGGAACCCTTTTAGACAAACCTAAAACAAGATGGGGATGTTGATGATTGGACCAGCCATTCTAGGTTGGGTGTTCCAACCATTCAAGTTCAATTCCATTGTGTCCAAGCAGGAAACAGCTTGTACCAGCATGTCCTCACGGAGGGAAGTGGATTGCCTTTTTAACGCCACCGAAAGTGGTTCTCCCCAGTGCAATTGCATCACGCACTTGCGTCATCCTCGTTATACCCACTCGAAAGGAGTTTACCCCAGCCACATGGTGAATCAAAAGGCCGTGTCTTGTTTTGACACCTTTTTGGGGTCCTTAAAGAAATCCGCCTTATTTTTGGGCTTCCCCCACCAGGCCAACCCAAAAAAGCAGAAGAAACCGTGGCCCCAAACCACCCCATCCCCGCCCGTCAGCCCGCTCCCAAGACCGCTCCGCAGGACGTCTCCGCAATGCGGCGCTTCTGCGGCAGCTCGGCGGCGCAGATGGCGGAGGTGTCGAAGGCTCCGCAGGCCGAGGCGGCTCCTTGGCAGAAAAGAAACGAATCGGAGGGCCAGGCGGGGAGGGGGCGGGGACGGGGCGGGGAGGGGGCGGGGAGGGGGCGGGGAGGGGGGGAAGGGGGGGAGGGGGGTTTGTGGGTATTTGCTTTGGGGGAATCGAATCATGCCAGGATTTCGTTTGGGGCTTTCCTGTTGTGGATGGTTTCGCAAAATCGAGAAATCACACCACCGAAATCAGAAACCCAAGGGAATGATCGACTCCCCAGCGTTTAAATAACAGCAAACGTTGTGTTTGGGACCCCGACATCTACTGTGGAGGGTTTCGCGACTTCCGTGAGTCTTGGACCAAGATTCATGAAACCGTGGTTGAAGGAAACCATAGGGTTTGCTACGGTATTTACGTTGCAGAATCGAATCATTCCCTTGGGTTTCTGATTTCGGGGGTGCGAAATGGAGTTCGCAACCATCCACAGCAGTGCTCTCCGATGCCAGGTGCAACTCCTTCTTCCCATTTTCTTAGGGGTGGGCCTCTCGAACATTCTTCTTTCCCATGGCCACTGGAGGTTTGGGAGGATGATAAGTCAGCCAGGGTAAAACCTACAGAGATGTATCACTTACTAAGTGGGGCGATCATGCAAGTAAAGAGGGCAAGACAAGTAGAAAGGGCCTCAAACAAGCCTGTGCTTCAGGGGGGGCGGGGGGCCGGGGTGGGTCGCTTCAGACCACCAGTCAGAGAGTCAGAGAGCATCAGGACGCCACCTTAACCCAGGACAGTGTCCAAATGATGGTTTCCTACGATAGGTGGTTTCCATTTAGGATAATTCCATCATGTCCCAACAAAACGTATGTGCACTGAATCTCATTTCTTTGCTGGGACTTTCTTGCGGTGGTTATGACTTACCTTTGTAGGGAGTCTTGCTCATAAATCAGTTGCCAAGGCCAAGTCTTGATGATGCGATCCATGCCAAAACCTCCGAAAGCCCAGAAGCCTCTTTGAGGGTGGTGAAAAAAGCCCCTTCCATGGCATGAGGCTTGGGTTGGACCTTTCTGCCTTGGGGTTTGAAGGGACAGATGAAACGCGGGCCACAAATCTACCCCGAGATTTTAGCTCACGTTCAGGTTGCACGTGCTGTTGAGGCTCCCGGTGTATGCGGATTCCGTGACGTGTTCGTTTTGCCCCAGTGTGGCGATGGATGGCTTTAGTTGGCCAGATTTTTCGACCAACCACCCCTTTATTTGGGATCGGTAGGAATGGTCATCGACCCCTTGACAGGGAATTTGGACAGCCATGATAAGGACTTCCATTCATCAAGTCGTGATAAGACGATTGCACATCTGGGGCTGGGATGGGGGGACTTTTTGGAGGATGCCCGCCCGGCAGTTTTGGGTGTCCTTAAGCTTCGTAGCCATAGGGGTCCTTTTTGGTTGTTTTTGTAGACAAATAGATGGCCCTGGTTTACCTGCTGGTTTCATCATCTTCCAGGGAAACCCATCTATTTGCCTGGTGTTCGTCAAGACATTGGCCAGCCTGGTGCTTGTGCCAAGACATGCCGCCCTAAAAGGAGACCAATGTTCGTAGGCATTTGGCTCGGATACCTTGGCCCGGTGACACCTGACTCGATGGCCCAAGTCCAGGAAGAACGCCCACCGAGAGATGCCGCGTTCTTTGGGGTTGATAGGCACTGCAAAGTCTGGGACCCTAAGTGGGATTTACTACCTTTATGTCCCATGTATTTTTCATAGCCTGTTTCATGCTCTCTTTCATAGCCTATCCCAGTTTTCCTAGCCTCTTCTCAAATACATATATATATATATATATTTCAGTAGGTAAACACATAGATGAGCGAATCAATAAATACATAAGTCTGTACTGCCTACGTTTCGTTCGGTGTTCACCAGGTGCTCCAGGTACCCGTCTTACTCTGTGTGAGGAGAGCTTCTGCCTGCGGGTGGCCTCGGAGTACGGGGAGGAGCTTTCAGCCGCGGCGGAACTGCAGGAGGACGACATACTCCGGAAGATGCCTTCAAAGGAACACAGTCTGGTTTCCCATTTTTCCAAACCAAATGATGTGTTTCGCAAATGCCAGGCTGACCCAAACTGTCAGACACCTTTTGTTCTCAATGACCCCGAATTACGTAGGCGGGCAGTCCAAGTAGGGCGCCTAGCTTGCGAGGACTTGGCCAGCTTCTGCGTGGAGGATGGCATTTGCCCCCGGCTTGGGAAGGCCGGTGGCGGGTGGCGATTGCCGGGCTGGCTAGGGACCCTGCCACACCGACCCCCTTAAAGATCGCCCGAAGGGTATAGGAAAAAAACACGCGTTAAGAGGGAACAAGGCCAAGTAAGGCCAAAAAAGGCAGAATGACACAAAGGTTAGGTCGGAATCAGCCTAGGTTCCGGGAGGGAAAGTGTCCCCTGAGTACAGTGAGAAAATATCAGTTAGATTGTGGCCCCATCTTCTGGTTTGTTCAATCTTCAAATCTGTGCGAGCGTGTACCTACTGTGGATAACTCCTGCACCACCTAAGAAACCCTGGCATGATTCGATTGCCCAACCGCTATGCTTTCATTCCCATGATTTCGGCGCAGATTTCGCGTTTATCCACACTTTTCGGGTAGAACCGATCGTGGTGGGATGCTCCACCACTCTGGCAGTTGCAAAAAAAGGGTTTCGCACACCGGACTTTTTCTGGTTGTGGGTAAGACTCAGTTCCCCCCCGGCCATTTCCTTCGGTTTTTCCCAAATCGTTTGCGTGCGAGCGCTGCACCGTTTGCACCCGGCCTCCGAGGACAAGGAGGTGGACGGCCTGGTGGAAGGCACCGATGTCGGGGAGAGAGGTCGCGAGAGAGAGGAGTCGGGAGAGAAATTCTGGGCCATAGATGGCCGTGTTTCTCTTCTTTTTTTTGGTAGGGGGAGCCCCCCAACTCGTTTTTTTTTTTTTTTTTTTTTTTTTTTTTTTTTTTTTTTTTTTTTTTTTTTTTTTTTTTAATTAAACGAAGAGATGGCTTTCCTTTTGGATTCCCTTTCATACCCACGAAAAGAGGGTACCCTCAAGCAAAGATATACCCAGATCGGCTATGCGATGTCTGCAAAGTCAAACGACCTCCTTGCTTGGGGTTGGTAGGGCTGGTCATGAACATTCCACATGTTGAGACAGACCCATATGTGCCATGGGCAAAGGACCACTTTACTTGAGGTGGCAGGGCTGGTCTGAACCATTTACTCAGGTGCTGGACCACCAATGCAAAGTTACTATTCTAAGTGAACCGACCGTGACTGGCAAAGGGCGGTTTGAGCATAGCACATCCGCGCAAAGAGCTTACGGAAGCAAACTTTCGCTGCACGGCTAACGGGAAGCCAGCCCTGCTACTCGGCAGCATGGCTTTGAAAAGCGACTTCCTGCATGGCTGCATGGCTGCATGGCCCATTTTTTGTTTTTAATGGTACTTTCTTGGGGAGTAGTTTTCAAGGAATGCCAACTTTTTGGGAGTACCCTTTGACACATACCCGCACGGTAGCTTGCTTTCCTTCCCTTCCAACTTCGTGCAGAGCTTTCTCACTCTCCGAGCCTTAAAAACGGCGAACACGAGGCGAGCGCTTCCTTTCGTTTTCCTTTGGGATCTACATGTTTTACGCGCTTTTTGCCAGGGAACTTGGAGTCCTGATTGGAGGGGCTTCCCCAAGAGGAATGTAGTCTTAAGCCTCTAATTGTCAGCTTTCATGATTGGAGGGGCGCATAACCCAAACAAATGCGAAAAAGCTAACAAGCACTCGCCCAGTGGTGCTGCGTCTCGGCAACAGTTTCCTTTGGTTTTCCTTGACATCTTTGTTTCAGCACCTGACCAGACCTGAGAAGGTTCCAGAGCGGTGGCCTTTGCAGGTCTGTTTTGGTGTTCCCTGGCCTTTTCCCCTGCCGGTCACGGTGAGAAACCATCCAGCGACACTCCCCAAGCTTCCTTCCGACCCCCCCCAGACCTGGGATCGAAGACTCCGTAGCGGTCGCCAGGCATCTTGGGCGCCTTTGCCGACCGCTGCCCGGAGAAGTAGCGGGCCTCGAAGAGCGAGCGGCTCCTGAGCGAGCGATTTCCCGAGCCAAGCGCCAGCTCACCTTGCCGAATTGGGTATGGGGCAAAACTAAACCACCTGGGGACCGCAGGTGTTTGTCCATGTTTCCACTTGCCAGGATTTCATTTTGGGTACCTATTTTTGACCCACAGCCAATTCTGCTCGTACGTTCTTTTCATTTCGTTCTGGGTTTTGTACGGAGTTGCTGGTTTCAGGATCGTTGGGGGTCACACTGGTTGGAAGTTGCCTTACATATGTGGGAGATAAGACCAAGCCTTTGCGAATCTGCAGAAGGCCCATCGCGGTGACACCAACGCGGTCTGTGCCCGTCCTGGGTTTGCCGCCTTCGAGGATCGAGCAGCGCAGGAAAGAAGCTGAGAGAGAGAAAACACATTTTTTTTTGTGGAGCCCCACCCAAAGTTTCTCCCCAATTGGTCAGGCCTTATTTGTCTATGCAGAGATCAGGGAGGGGGGAAATCCGGATTTGGGTGAAAAAGGCCTCTTTTTTTCCAGAACCATGCAGGGTTTTCGTATCACGGTCACCCAGATGATAGTTGCGATCGGATCTGAAGACCCCAAGCCCCCAAGGACATGTCATAAGGCTTATTCACCTCTCAAAAGGCTCGAAAGTGCGTTCCTTTGCTCGCCATAAAGCTCCTAGACCCTTTTGGGACAGTTGACGCTTTCAAATAGGGAACCAGCATGTCACACTCGCAATTCTTCGAATACTTTTGCAGGGGTCATTATTTTGGTGGTTTTTTGGGGGTTATCAACGTGAGAAAATGGATTCGGTTGTTTCCCTACCCACCACTTGGGTGACTGTGACCATGGTAAAATCATGAGGCCAGTGAATTGAACAAGATTCTTGTCACAAAGTGTAGCCCAAGGCCCACAGATCCAACACTTCCTGGGGCCGAGCTCCGAAAGAAAAAACCCTCCGTCGCCTTCCCAGTCAGAACTTTTGGTTCCGAACAGGAGGCAAGGGACCAGAGAAGAAGAGACGGTGGCACGGGTTGTTGGCGTGATCTCCCCTAGGCAAGGTCCTCTGGTTGTGCTGCTTGTTATTCTAGGGGTAACTTCCATGTTCATTCTTTCCTTGGATCCGAACCTTTCTAGAAAACCACCAAACACCCTGGGGGCTTGGCTGGTTTTTGAAAAGAACGATGGCTGAAAAGAATGGAAAAGGAATCAACCTCTACAGTTATTAGTGTTGTCCCCGAATTTCAGGTTTCTATTCCCTAGATTCTTCTGATTCACGATCAAACTCGAGCCTCCGTGCCCGAAAGGCCCACCCATGCTCAGGCCCTTGAACTTGCCTTCCGGTAAGTTTAAGGGGCTCAAGCATTTCCCCATGATTTTTCCATCGTTTTCATTCATTCTCCTTCCACTCCCCTTCATTTCCCCCTTTCTTCCTTTTGATTTTCATTCATTCTGCTTCCACTTCCCTTTTTTCCCCCTGGTTAGTTCCACCCGCCCCGCCCCCACCACCCCCCCCCCCTCCCACCCCCCACCCGCCTTCCCCCCACCCCCACTTCACCCCCACCCCCCTTCCCGCCGCAGGCCCTGCCGCCCCGCGGCCCCGGGCTCCTGGTCTTCGGCCGCGCTGGCCACGTGGAGCGCTCTCTGGACCTCGAAGCGCTGCTGGAGGCCGCCTGCACCCAGCGCCTGCGCCCCGAGGCGCGGGGAAGTGGTCCCTGGAGGTGCCGCAAGGAGGGTTTTGGCGAAAAACCACTTTGTTACGTGCTTTCCCTACATATATATATATATATATATGCATGCTCATCCTATTTTGCGGCATATCTTGTAGCATTGCAGCCAGAAGGCTAAGCATCTATGTGGGCACTTATTTTCTTCAGTTTGAGCTGCAATTCATTTTGGCCAAAATCATATTTTGGATGGAATTCCTACTTAAGTCCGAAATCGAAATAGGCATTCAACATCAACTTACATTGCACTGTGCTTTAACTCAAATCCTATTTGGAACAAAACTCCTACTTGAATTCTAGATCAACATAGGCATTCAATTTCCATTGTCTCCCTCTTCAGTTCGACTAAACTTCTACTTGAACGGTTATTCAAATTTCATGAAAAGGAGTTGGCATTCAAACTCTACTTCACATATAATGGAATTCTGGCTTCATTAAGTTCTTTTCATGGAAAGGATGCCATGTCAAATTTTACTTGTAGATAGACCGTATAGTGGAGCACTTTTCTTATTGAACTCCACGTATGTTCTACTAGTTCATGTTACATTAACATCATACGTGGAAAGGACTTCCCCTTTAAATTCTCATCAAGTGAAAGTTCTATTTAAGCTTAAGTCAGCGTGCAACTTTGTATAGGGAGTATATTGATTTTATAAGGAGCCTTATAAGCAACTTTTCAAGGAGCCATGGAAGGACGTATCAGCCAGTAAATATGCTACACACGCATCTTTACAAGGAATTGTAGAAGGAGCCTTTTAAGGAGCCTTGAAAGGAGCTTTAGAGCCTTACAACAGCTTTAAGGAGCCTTATCAGGAGCTTTATAATGAGCCTCAACCGGAGCCTTCTGTGGAGCTCAAACAGAGCTTGATAAGGAGTGATACAAGGAGTTCAGGAGGCATACGGAGCTCTGTGGGGAGCTTTACAAAGAGCTTTATGAAGAGCTTTATAAGAAGTCTTACTAGCAGCATATAAGTGAGCTGCAAAGAGAGCTTTGGAGCTTTACCATGAGCCTTATAAGCAGAGCTACAAGGAGCTTTACAAGCGAGGGGGGGGGTTAAGCCACCTTTGCACTATTTTGGACGAAACAACAAGAGCAAGGGTCACTCAGGAGGGCCGGGAGACCAGAAGTCTAAGTACCGGTATCTAGATTTCTTCATATGGTATTTGAATCCTGGATCCAAGATCCAAGAATGTTAGGGGCCTTCTGAGAGCAATCTTGGATCCCACAAGTTATGCTCCTGAACTCTCCAAGTACCGCTAAATATTTAGACATCTAAATACCCTGGATCCGAGATCCAAGATCAAGGATTTGTGGCGGACTTTTGGGAGCAGTATTGGATTCATGAGTGATACTCCTGAAATCTAAATACCGGCAGCTAGCTTTCTAGTTGCCGGTATTTAGGTTTAAGGGGGGGGGAACATTCATGGGAACATTCATGGATGTTGGGGATCCAGGATCTAAATAGCGAGATTTAGAAGTTACAATCCCGTACTAGATTTTAGTGGGGGACATCCACGGATCCAAGGTTGCTGCCAACGGTCTCCCAATCTTGGATTTTGGACCTATATACTGTTTTGAGAAGTGTAGACTCAGCAGTTGTAAATTCAGGGGAGAAAGGCGAAACATATGTTTCTAACTCATTTGCATCCTTTGTTCTCTGGAGTCAGGATTTTGCAAACCTCCTTCCTGGGCATTGTGATTTTTGAATCCATGAAAGATGCTTTTCTTTCTGTTCCAAGGATACAGTCCCGTTTCTGTATTTGCCAGCATCCAGAACATATGTTTTTTTTTGCAAGAGGTACCCGAACTGTCTCTTTTCTCAGCCCAAATTGTCTCTTTTTCTCGTGGAATCTTGCTCGGAGAGCTTGCTCAGAGAGCTTGCCGACACCTTGCGCAGAGAAACTCCCTCAGAGAACTTGCGCAAAGAACTGCAGAGAAAGACGCAGCTTCTTCTGTGCAATTTGCAGTGCCAACACAATTTTGCCTACAACAGCATAAATTGTGTTCTCTGGCCATTCTACTGTGCAAGGAGTACCTAGTTGTCCTTGTGTTGGTCCTCTAGCATGGCTGCTACATTTTGCCTGGAATGCTCATTCCTTGGGTTTGTGCAGAGGAATTGCTCTTTGTCCAAAGTAGTTTAGCAGAGAGCACGCGATGGACTGCAAACATGCGTATCTTTGCTTAAGTCTGTGGCACAATTGATCAAATACTACTACAGCCTGTCTTCTCAAACCAAGCAAAACGATGGTACAAAAACGTTGCACTCATATATCTGTTTTTATATATAAGCATATACACCTGCATATATGATAAATGATCTATGTATATATACATATATGTATACATACATCTATCATATACATGATGGCAGGCAAGGTTCTCAATCCAGTAGACACCGGCAGGACTCCAAGCCGCAACCTTCCCGTGTCAGCGCGGCAAAGAGTAGCAACGCCGCAAGCCGCTGGCCCCAATCAGGGGTTCCTGGATTTCTCCTGCCTCCTCCCAAAAATGGCTTAAAGCCCAAGGCCCCTCCCGCCTCCAAGTTGCCAAGGAACCTACAGGTCTTCGAAAGGCACTGACCGAAAGGCGCTGACCCTATCTTAAGCATCGCTTTTTGGCGGACCCAGGGACACTACTAGAGACATGTTTTTCGTTTCTTTTCTGTTGGACCTAAGCAAATGGAGCTTGTCTTGACAATTTTACTGGATTTTTTTTTGGTGGACCCAAGCAAATGGAGCTTGTCTTGACACATGGAAATCCTGTTCGCGAGGCTTTCCGCCTCGACGCCGGCGATCTTCCGGCGTCCTCGCCCCAAAGGGGCGGAAGGGGCCTTGGGAGCAAAAAAGAGGTGGGGGAAAAAGGCGCTGGTTGCAGGTGCCCTCGCTGTTCTTGTTGTGTGCTTGATCGTTTTGTTTTCTTTTTCTTCTTCTTCTCCTCCTTCTTCTTCTTCTTCTGGCGTTTCTGTTCATTTGTGCAGGTGGCCTAGAAAATTGCGGTGCTTGCAGTCTTGGACTACAAGAGTTGCAAAGAGAGACACCTGCCCATGATCGGCCGGACAGCAGTGCAATCACACAGAATCGCAATACAGGTTTTCAATTGATGTGAGTATATGTATACATACACATATATATATATACATATATATGTATATACATGACGCTGCGTACAACATACATGTCTTTTTCTCTTGACAGTTGCAGAACATGATATTTTCCATTAGATCCACTTATGCCATTGGTAGAAGCGACCTCATCTTCACCTTTGGGCGCTGGGTCTTTGCTCAAGGCAGGTGCCTGAGATAACAAGCAGAGGTGTGAGTCAACCCAAGAAGAAGGGTGCCTCAAAGTTCTGGGGCCAGGAATCTTGCAATTCCCAGTTGTAAGTTGTTTGGGCATCGAGTTTCCGCAAATATCAGCATCCAAAGAGGGAGAGGATTCTCATGAGAGATTTCGCGGCAAGCTGCAGTTGCAACTTGGGAGTTCTCGCAGCGGATCCCTTCAGGTTGTGAAATGACATGCCCCTGCCCCTGTGTTCACGAACCATCTGAAAAGATCGCAAGACCTGGGTGTTTTTCTTCTTTTTTCTTGAGGGGGGGTCAAAATCAGGCCGGACAGGTTCAATCCGAGGCCTTCGATCAGAACCCTACGGAATCAACTGTGCTTCCCCTAAGTGAAGGATCTCCAAAGTGGGTTGCGCCTAAGAGACATTTCCACGGAACGGTTTGGTGAACATCTTTGGTCGGTCTGCGGGGACATGCAGGATCAACCTTGCAGAAAACAGGACTCTTCCCAAAAAGGAAAACCTGTTGTTTTCCTCTTGGCTTCCCCTTTGAAACCTCCAGACAACCAGGTACCAACTCCAAAAGGCAGGCACGCAAATGATGGAACCAGCCAGACTCGAGGCCAAACAAGTTGCCAAAGCCATCCGATTGAAAGCCATGGCTTTCGGACGGCGCCGCCTTCTGCGGCGTCTCGGGGTTTGGGCGGCGCTGGGTTTGGGTTTCGCGAGGCGGGGTCACCGCAATGAGGCCGTGGGAAGGAAACCATAAGGTTTGTTGGTATTTCCGTTGGGGAATCAAATGGGTGTGGCTCAAAATTAAACAGGAGGGGTGACGCAGGTTTTGGTCCATATTTCCACTTACCAGGGCAACCCATTTTGGTACCGGTTTTTTGAGCCACAGCCAAATCATTCCGTTGGGTTTCTGAAGGGTGGTGCGAAAAGGATTTCGCAACCATCCACAGTATGGAGTTGGGAGTGATGCTAGTTTTGGTGACCGGTGTCAAGTTCACGCTGTGGGGCATCCCCCAAGCACCCCCGCACGGAAGACTCTCCGGACTGGACCAAAGGTTTTAGGTTGCTACATGTTGCTACTTTCTGTGCTTCCCCAAGTCCGACTCCCTTTGAGTAGTCATGGGGACGCGGAGGCGAGCTGAAAACGGGTGTCCTTTCAGAAGCATGCTCGGACCAGGATTTGGGGGGAAGGGATTCCTGTGTTCGGATCGATCACTTCTTCCAAGCGTCAAACGCGTGTCTAAATTCGGAGGGCAGGCTTTGGTTTTGAAGGGGAAGCTGTTGCCATTTCTGGGGCCCGTGATCCAACTCTAGGTGTTGACTGTGTGGCTCTCCAGGAGTCCACACAAGGCATCCCAAAGACACCCACCCCAACGGTTTAGGGCCATGTGCTTGGCAACTTTTTCTGCCTATGCAGCCCTTAGTTCTTCGGCTTTGCAACAAGGATCCCTGAGTCCTTCTATCGATTGGTTCCTTTTGCTTCTGGGTGGTTCACGTCCGCCATAGTTCTAGTGGCAGCTTCTCCATGAATTCCAGGGACCTTCTTTTCTAGAAAAGCAACACCACGGGGGGAAAGGGCTTTTATTATTTTCTTAACACAAATATGGTTGACGGTTGGTAGACATCAACTATCATGCGAGGATTCGGTCGAACTTCCTAGTAGTCTATGGCCCATTTGGGAACCTACATGGGGCACTCACGAACTGTCCCCCACCACATTGTGGGGGACACAAGGCAATCTTCCCATGTCCTTTCGCAGAACCGCTCATAGCTTTATGACCATCCTACGAAGCCAAGCCTGCCTGCTCATCTAGCCACAATCAAAACCCCGGTAGATGAAGGTTGGTAAGGGGCCGTCCCAGCCAGAAACAGTTGCTGCCTTCTTAATTCTTGAAGCATGGTTCTGCGGATCGACCATCTTTCCGGGTTTTGATTGTGACTCAAACGCCCCCCCCAACAAAATGAACAATAATAAATCACGGTTGTCCCTTGGGTTTCCCTTTTTTCACCACTCCCAAAATTGGGGACCCACCCTTTGGGACACGCGAAACGGCCACGGCGGGGAGCCCCGAAACGTCGCTTCGAAGCCGCAGGGCGCCCAGCTTCTCGCAGAGCCGCGCGCCTCGGTTCCATCGGAGTGCACAAGCGAAAGCGAAGCCGAAACCGAAGCCGAAACCGCGGGAGTGGTTTTCTGGCGCGGTTGTAGCTGAGTTGCCACGGGAATGAGTTCCCATGCTGTGTTTGGTTTTGGGTCAAGTTTAGGTTGGGGAGTCAGTCGTCACTGCATCACTCCGTTATGGGTAGGTTCAGGAGAGACTCCCTAACATGTGGCCTTGAAATCCAAGCGGCTTCACTGCAGATCTGAGCCTTTGGTTTCAAGTTGCGGTCATTCCAGGAGATGGCATTTTAGGGGCTGCAACCGCAAGGACACTCCAAAAACCTGGTTTAGGGATACGTAAGCTCAGCCTCCCTCTACTAAATCCCAAAAGTTTTTGGTTAAGCTCAGCTTCCCTCGACTTGACTACTTGGTGGATTGGTGGTTCGGTGTTCCGGGGTGGGGAACCCCACACAAGAGCCAGGGTTCAAATCCAAGTCCATCCAGCCGTTCGGATGGCGAAAAACTGGAGCTTCGGCGAATTTCAAAGGCTTCAATATGATCATGGCTCATTCATTACCTGATCCCCCTAGTTGGTGGTTTGCACTTTGTGCCTTCCCCATTTGGCTTCAAATGAGCTGGGGTGCAACAATCCTCAAATCGCCAATCCAAACCACCAATGGAGGATTACCTGAGTTAAGGGTTGCCTGATGCGCAAGACACATGCAGAAGGTGCCCAACCAGAGGCCAAACTGGTGGCCTTGAGGATATGATATGTACCCAATCGTAACAAACTACAAGACACCTAACAAGCTTAACCTACAGTACAACAAGCCAAGCATAAATAGATGCAATACCACTGCCAATACTCCTGATACTGTGGATGGACGAAATCGTTTTCGCACCATTTTTCGGAGAAGCCAAAAACAAAATCCTGCCACACAAGAAGCAACTGCCGTGGTTGCAGCCATGGCTCCAGGAACCGCGGATTCCGCGCGCCGCGCGGATTTTTCGCGAAATCGATCCGAGGTGCTGCAGCATTTGCTCCCCAAGAGCCCAGTTCTGCGCGGCGCCAAGGTCGGGGGCGAGGACGGGACGGACGGGTGCTGATTTGGCCGGGGTTGAGAGGACCGGTTTGGTCAAAGCGGTTCCTTCGGCTCAGCTTTTTAGGTGTTTCCTTCAAATCAGGTTTTTGGTGGGTCCTTCGGTGTTTCTTTTGCGTCTCGTCACGTCGTGCTTGGGTTTCCGTATTTAACCCCCAAGCTACAGACTTTTACAGTAGCACGGGATCAGAAAACCGACAGCCCAGACAAGGACAGCAGTTTGGATTGACAATCCCGTTGAGCAGCCAATTGGAAAGACCCCTTTGCGGGTGAAACAGGCGATTTTGGATATGTATTGGTGAATCCCATGGACTCGAAACTCCAAAGTCTAGTCCAGGTGCTACAGGGGTACCTTTTTCTTTCGTTTTGGGCTAATCCACAAATGGGGGACTTCTTAACAGATTTCGTCTTACATGTCCAAATTTTTCGATTGAACATCTAAATATGCAACTTCCAATTTCCACAGGCTGCATGCTGGTTTCCATGGGCTTGTCGGCTCGAGTCGCATTGGGGGACAAGTACGCAAGCCCCAACAAAAGATCGCTGGAACCCATGGGGGTTTGGGGTGAACGAAGCCCAGGGCGCTGAATTTCGGCCGGAAAGAATCGGGCCTTGACGGTTGGTGAACCAAGTTTTCAATCCGAGCCTCTGAAGCCTCCAAACGCGGCCGGTGTTTTTGGACTGGCCCCAGCTTTCGCTCTTTAAGGGACCCAAATGGTAAGGCCTCTCTTGCCTTTGGCCAACCGATCGGCACCAAAACCCCCCCCTCCGCCCCCTCCCCCTCCGTGCTTTTGTTTGTGGGCACATTCATGAGCGTTGGGCGTTGGGCTTATAAACCCTTTCGTCCTTCTACCGGCACCCCGTGGTTTTTTGGCGGGTTTGCGCGACCATCCGAAAATGCGCTTCCGGACCAAGGGCTGTCCTTTAAGGAACCCTGAACGGGAACGGGTGCTGCAACGCCTCGGCAGGATGCCCCGAGCGTCTTCTTGCTGGCGCCGCCCTCTGAGCGCTTCGGCTCGGGATTCGATGCCTGGATTTCAGTGGGACTACTGGTCAATTTGGCACGTCTTGCACGGGGACATCCGTTTACATTTGCAAGCATTTCGTGCGCTTGCTTTTTTTGTTTGTTTTTTACACGCGGCTGCGTGTGGTTGGTTTTACCTGATTGGCAAGCCAATCACCCGGCGTATCCCAGGTGTTTCGACACTCTAGTAGGTAGCCAGCAATGGTCCTTCTGGTTGTTTTTATTTAGATTTGTGAAACTACTTCCGTGGTTGACATTCCTAGTTCACAAGTCGCCATTGTGGGATTTAGTCTTCAAACGGAGACTTCTTAAATGGGGATATGAAACACTTGCTAAGTGCGGCGGCCATCCAAGAAGAGCATTTTACTGGGACTGCCGAACTGACTTCTGACCACAGCTTTGTTTCAAGAGTGACAGGATCGATCCCATTTAACTAAGCATCCCTGTGAACTATCAACGCAAGACGGGTTCTGCCCAAAAAGGGGTTTGTAGCCCACTGGTTTTATAGCTTGGGAAATTGCCCAGGGGCCATGGGCCATTCAGATAAGCGCAACTATGGCTAAAAAAATAAGGTAAAGGAAGGTTTATGGAATCCACAGCTTGGTATTATGGCTTATGGAGTTAAGGTTTGCGTGCAAGACAATATGGTGAACATAAAGTCTAGGGGCCCAAACGGGTTGGTTGTGTGTCGGGCCGTTCACTTCCGAGGCATTTGACTAAGTAATGTACAAGGACGTATGTATCTTGAGTGATATGTGTATATATATATATATATACATATATATATATATATCTATGTATTTGTAACCTCTCAACCTCCGTACCGCCAACAAGCCACCTGAAATGCCCTTCAAACAGGGTCACTTCCGAGTCATTAAGTAGTAATGTATATACATACACATACACACACACACACATGTATATATGTATATATGTTTATACACACAACAACACCTCTCCAAACCCACCTGAAAATGCACTTAAAGGGGCCACAGTTCCAAGAAGGATCCCTCAAAAACAGCACCAACCCCGCAGGAAGGACGTGAAATCCTTTGAGGTCTGGGGGTCCGTAGGCATCTGACCAAGTACCTCCTGGAAGACCCCTCCGAGCCCTTCGGCGCCGAGTGGCCCGAGCGCCTCTTTGGGGAGGCGAGGTGTTGGCGCGTTTCGAGCCATGGGATGGGGGGGGGCTGTGGTGGAAAACGTCCTAGAAAATGCACCTGGCTGTGGTGGTCAAAACCGGTTTGGTGGATCCCATTTTGGTTGGGATTGGTGAGAACTCGCCACCCATTTTAGGACCTATTTTAAGTGGTTGGATTGGGATGTTCACTGGGGGTACGGGGTTTTGACCCACAGCCACTTGAAAGGCCACCCGGAGATGGAATAGCAGCAACCGCGCCGCAGAATTGAGTCGAACGAAAGCATAAAAATAATCTGTGGAAAAGAAGCACCAAGAAATGAAAAGAGCCGTCCCAAACCACTGCCACAAAACACGGGTACAGGCCATCGCTGAAGAAGCAACCGCCAAATGCCTCCTTTGGCCGTGCCAATTGCGTCTGAGCGTTGGGTGGTAGCCGAGGTAGGGGTCCTACGCACCACTCCGACCCCATCCCCAAACCCCCCCAACCGCCCAAAACGACACTCCCTGGACCCTAATTCGGAGGCTATGGCGGGCAAACAAAGCACCTGAACCCTTGGGGTCTGATGAAAATTCTCACCTGACTTGGCAGAACCCCCCCCCCCCCCATTGCATTTGGTAGAGCCTCTTGGCTGGATATGGTTGGGAAGCTCAAGGGTTGTGGGCAACGCTTTGCGGCCGCAAAGGCCTCCATGGATGGTTTCGCGACATCCGCGAGTCGCGCAACACCGAAATCAGAAACCCAAGGGACGGATGTTCGCTTCCCCTACGGTACTTTTGGTTTCCCTTATGCCAACCGCAAGTTGCAGTCCAACGCCCCCGCCCTTTCCGGCAAGCCAAGAGGTGGAGGGCCGGAACGAGCCGGATGAGGCGGACCAAGCACCGGGGAAGTGGCAGAAACTCAGCTGGCAGGTTTTTTGGTCGTTTTCTTTCTGTTTTTGGTGTGCCTTGTGTGTGTGTGTGTTTTTTCAGTGCGAATCTCTGATATTGCACATCGACCACACCAATTTCCGCAGAGGGTGTCATTTTTGCAGGGTGGACCGCTCCGCCTTAGAAGAATAGTTTGAATCTCTCGTGCCAGCTTCTTGCGCAAGTGTGCTCGTGCAAGGGTGCGCGTGTTGTGCAAGTGTGCTCGTGCGAATTTGCTGGAGCAGGTGCGCTCGAGTGAGTGTGCTCGTGTCACTGCTTCACATATGTTTGTGGGAGCACACTAATGTTAACCCCGGATTAATAAACCCCTGTTGATTAATAGGGGGGTGTCCCCTTTTAGTGGTTGGATTCAGACCACTTTTGGAGGGAACACCCCCCTATGGGACGGGTTCTACTTGGCTCCTGGGTCAACATTACCCATGGACAATCCCAACCATAAATAGCTGCGGCCGCCTTCTTAATTCTTGAAGCATGGTTCTGGGTCTACCATATTGACACCGGGTTTTGATTGTGACTCACATATGTTCGTGGGAGCACGCCAGACCCAACGGTCGAATGTCAGGAAGTGGGATTTCCACTTCTCCAAGCGCGAGCCCTTCCTGCTGAAGGCGGGGTTCGAGGCCCCTCACGCCCTTGGGTTCGGCCTAAGCCGCCGCCCAAAGCCGCCGAATGGGCGGGCTGGGCTGTCCCTTGGGTTCCCCGTACAAAAGCCACCCCAAGCAAGTCCCTGAAAGGCCGCGAAAAACCCGAAATGGCAGACCCTGTGGCTTGAGATCTTGAGTTGAGATGACATGTCTGCCATTCTTGGCACTTTTGAAGGGACTAGAAATGCTTGCCAACAGAACAAAACAACAATATGGAGCGAACAGCTCGAGATCGCAGGCTTGAGAACACATGCGGTCTGCCATGTACTATGTATATATATATATATAAGTTAGAGCATAACTTTCCCATCTTTTTAATACCCCCCCCGCCGGCCAACATCATACTTTACTACATACTTTTCATCACAATCAACCACATCAACTCTATTTTCAAACAGCAACCCACAACAATATTAAATAATTTCACCATACAAGTTTCATCACAGCAAACCATCACATAATTTTTCATCATTGGCTGGGAATAAAATTATACAATAATTTTATCCCCAAAAAAGATGGGAAAGCTGTCCCTGTTAGAAAAAAGAAAACATTAATTTATATAATGTTTTATTATATAGATTAATGGGGTTAATTTGTTTTAATGACTCCACACTCCTACGCCATCCCAATAACTACTCAAAATATCTTTGAAATTATATTGTAAAAAAACTATATCATCTTCTTTCATTTTATGTTTTGCTTTTCTTAAGAAATGATTTACAACAGACAGCAGTGTATAGAAATTGTATATCATTGCTTGTCCATCTCCTCTCTCGTTAATCAACTCCCCATTTTTCTTAACAATATCCTTATCCAACATATTTTCATAAATTTCCTTCATCCACTGATGGTTAGGTCTGCCATATTCAGCAAACATATCCAGATACATTCTGTGGTCTTCATTCTTTATTATCTTTATTACTTCATCATATTTAGGATAAGGATTTTCAATAATGAATTTCATAAAGAAAGTTTTTCCGCGAACCATTGTTCTATATTATTGTAAGGTACTATTCCTTTAAGTAGTTTAAGATTATTAAGAGTATTTAATAAAATCATACTTTCAACATCTCGTGTCTTAATAGTGGTCTATTGTATCCACTTAAGGTATAATATGTTTGTCCCATTCTTTTATTAATTGCTTCTACTGTATATTCACCTTGTAAAAAATGACTTGTCCTCTCTTTTTCAGTAATTGCCTTCTTCCTAACAATTTTGACTTTATCGCCCACCATCAGTTCAGGGTATATCCTTTCCTTTCTTGCTTTATTTGCTACATTCACCTTTGCCCTCAATTCATTGTCTTTTTTGTTTGCATCATTTGGAGTAAGTCCGGTGCTAGAATGCTTATCTTTATTATTGTAGGTAAGCATTATTTCAAATATGTAGTCAATCCATTGTATGTTCTGTTTTCCCTTCTTCTCATCATTCTCAACTCTCTTAAATAATTTATCCTTGAATGTCCGAATAAATCTTTCAGCAAATGCTGGATGTCCTCTTGTTCTATATAATTCAATTCCCTCGCCATCAACATATTCTTTAAAATCAGCACTTGCTATACCTCGTTCATCATCGGTATAAATAATTTCTGGTTTCTTTCCCATTTTTTGTAATCCTTCCATTGTCCCAGCAATGATGTCAGGGGGTGTTTTGCTTTTAATTGGCACTACTACAGCATACTTACTCAGAACATCTATCAATACTAACCCTGCTCTAAACTTTTGTGTTGCTTCAATATCTTCAGAAGATATAAAGAACAAGTCCAATTGATAAGTATGATTATTACGAGGTGCTACGAAGGAGTTGAAGCCTCTGGGTTTTTTCTTCACCTCAACATTATTTCTAAAGAATTCTTCAACATCAGACATTTTTATTTCAGGGTCTTTTTTCTTGGCATCTGTTAAAGTATTTGCTTTACGTCCAAAACCGGCTCTATCAAAATATGTTTTACTAATAATATCTTGTTTTCCATCACTCATATTAGAAAACAATATATTATTTTATATTGAAATTTTATTACTTAATCCTCTATTACATTCATAACATAAGCCCTTACAATTGCTCTTAAAATGTCCTATATCACAATCTACTCTTTGGGCACTTAAATTAGATACTACATTGTTGCCATCATAATCTATATACAATACACAACTACAACACTCACAGTTGGTATTAATCAAACTCAGCAACCATTCCTCATCAATGTAGTCATCACTGTCTAGTTCCCTTCCTGATTTCATATCCTGCTGTTTGTAATTCTTGACTTTGTTTATTAAATAATTATCCACCAAATCTTTAACCAAATCTTCGTCGTCATCATATCTAAAAAACTTTACCCTATTGAAATCTTTTGCCCTAGTCAATGCTGTAAAAAACCAGTTCCTATCAGCAAATTTAAAATTCCAGTCATATATTACAATGTCATCATCTACACTGCATCCCTGCTTAGAATGGGCTGTGTAGCAATAAGTATATATAAAATATTTTCTCATCACATCCCTTTTTAAGCAAATATATTTATCAGTGTTAAGATGTCTCATAGTTATATTATCTCCATCAATCATAGTTATTTCATATTTAAAATTTACATTGCATTTACCATTATCTAGTTTCAAATACTTTTTACATAACATCTTTTCACCAACTACATACTCATCTTTAATATTCTTCTTTTCTCTTATGACATTGCTTATCTTTCTACAGGTTTCATTTCTGTAGGCAATGTTATTATCTAATATTTCTACCTCGTCGGTCCATTTAAAATATCTATCAATCATTGTTTTAAACGTTGTATCCGTTTCAAATGTCAGTCTCTTAATCTCTGTTAATGCCTTTCTATCTTCTACATTGTTTAGCCTTTTACATTCATATAACATTATGTTTTTATTAAATATCAAGTCTATACAGTTGTCGGCATACTCTTCAAATCCTACAGTATTACATAAATGTTCCGGGCTCTTAAGTTGCTTAGTGTCTCCTGTTGCTATTATAATCTTTTCTGGGTGCTTCTTTTCAAAATTCCATATTAAAGCCCATTTACTCACATTATGAAAGTAGATTTCGTCAAATACAATCACATCATACTCTGAATAATCAAAGGGCTGTAATTTGCTTTCTTCACCGAATGCTATTGAAAAGAATTTGTTTATAGTAGCCCATTCACAACCACACTCTTGTCCTAACTCATTGGTAGGCACTACAAACAAAACTCTATAACCTAGGTTCTGCATCCATTTGCAAATAAAACTCTTGCCCGTACCAGGCACAAAGCCCCTAATCATCAGCCTTCCATAAGGCAAAACATTTTGCTTAACAATTTTACCAGTGTCCCATTCATCTTCTACAGGCATTGTTTCAGATACAGGTTCTACTATATCAATCTTCTTATTAACCATTGTTGTATAGTTATTATGCGGTAAATCAAAGTCTTCCTCATTCCTCCAATTCCCAAAGTCATCACCAAATTTAATTAGACCTTTAGTTTTCTCCAAATCACTTTTTCTAATTGCAAAGGCGTCAGTCTTCACTGAATATATTTGCACCTTGTTTTTTTATGAATGCACCATAGGCACAGTACATTTTAAAATTATGATGTTGCAAAAGCAACTCTTTTAAAAACCTATATCCATTAGTTAAAGTAGCTTCATCTGATACAGTCCAGACATAAAAAGTCCCCACTGTCTTACTTATATGCTTATACTCATTTTCATCAAACCACTCTTCAACATCTGATATTACATTAATCCTCCCACCATACCGTTCCTTATAATAAAATGCATCACTGATATTTTTGAAAGTAAATGATTTTTGCACAATGTTGCTTCCTTTTTCCAACTTTCCAAAATTGACATTAGCAATAAGTTTTTTAACAGTCTTATCTACATCATCATCGGGGCTAATCTCTGCATTCCATATTTTTTTGATGAGTGCTTCATAATTTACATTGTAGGTATTAGATGGGGTTTTATAGGATAAAATTTCAGCATTGTCTAGATGATGTTTTAAAAACTTTCCATATACTAAGCAATGACTTTTGTTAAAAAATATGTTTCTCTTCTTACTCTTAACATAGTATAAAGTTAATTCATTCATTGTATTAACATTATGCTTTTCGGTGTCATACCTTCTCCAAATGTCAAACTCGCTAAATACTGGGACTTTTTTAATGCTGATGAAGGCTGATGTAAAGGCTTTCCTTACATCAATCTCTGTCAAATCAGGTTTTATTAATTTATCCTTACCATAGTCTCTAAGCCTACCACAGGGCACTATTGTTCTACTGCTTTCTAGTATCTTAATATCATCATCGGTATAAAATGATTTATGGGATGGACTGAATAACTCCTTACCAAAATTAAACATTGCACTATTCATTTTATTAAAGACGGTTGCATCGTCAAACACATAGTAAGCATCAAGAGCGTCGGTAATCATATTCTGATTTTTAATGTTAAAAACTACTTTGTTGAGTTTAAGTTTCATTGATGTAATCTGGGTCTGAAACACTACTTTAGGTTTATATCCTGCATTACTTAAATCGCAAAATACTTTGTTAAGGTTGTTGTCAGAATGTATCAGATTAAATTCGTTTTGTCTTTTTTCTTTGGGTCTCTCATCATTCTCTTTCAGGATTTTTATGATGTCATTAATATTATTAAATACTTTGTATTCAGTGGGTGTTTCATTCCTGATTGGAATGTAATTTGGGGATGCATTTAAGTAAAGGTTCTTTTCAATGTTTGTTGTTGCTAAACTCATTGTATTGCTATTGAGGGTGTAGATATGATTATCACAAACCATACCAAAAAATACTGGTATGTTTTTGTTCTTTATCTCTGGGTCATAAGTGTATATTTTCTGACCGACAATGCTGTAAATTCTGACTGGAAACCTGAAGTATTCAAAAACTGGCATCATATCATTTATTGAAGCACCATGTTCTTTAAATTCTTCTTCAGTCTTAC